TGGCGGCGATAAGTAGGTGAGGCACACGACGAAGTTGAATATTCACGAAGGCTCGTGGAAAAGCTCTAGATTTAGAAAGATGAAATATGAATATAATTCCAAAAGGTTGAGGATAGTCCTCGAAGAAGAATGATGGGGTCACTAGACTAGAGCTACCAGCTAACTGATTGCAGCTTACACCCTTTCAGCAATCTTAAACGCTGCCCATCGGGGGCCTTGAACAACAAGAGTCGTGTTCCAATCCCCGAAGCCGAATACGAGCATCGATGTTGTTCATCTCTTATGCCTGGAACTCGACCTCGCGCTTGGCGGCCGGAGCAGCGGCCGGGGTAGAGTTGGTGGCGGCACCGCCAGGGGCAATCTGGATGGGCACGACACCTCCGAAGGGGCCAGCGCCGTTGTTGTTGGCAATCTTTACCAAGCAGACGTTGCTCTGGCCACCCATGGTACCAGTGCAGGTGGTGCCAGCGGGCACGGAGAAGGCCATGGGCTGAGGAAAGCTGTGTTAGTGAATGATAATCAAACGTTGAGTAGAGTGCTACTTACGAAGTCCTTGTTGACGTTGGAAGCACGCTTCTCAATAACGCTCATGGCCCTCTCCCAGAGAGAACGCTTGCCGCCAGGAACCTGGCCATTGGGCCTGATGTTACCGTTCTTGCCGGGAACTTGCTGAGTGACCGTAAGCTCGGTGCCCTGGGAGAACTGGCCGGTACCGGTGGGGTCCAGAACGGCGCGGAGAGGACCGGCACCGTCGGTGGTGACGACGTGGAAGGTACCAGAGATGCTGCCGCCAGTGGAGGAGACCTGAGGGAGAGTGTCGCCGGACAGAGCCATGGCCTGGGAGATATCGGCAGCCTGGACCTTGCCGCCACCGGTGGTCTTGCCCATGCCGTCGGTCATGATGTTCTTGCTCTTGAAGACAGTAGTGTCGAGCTCAGTCTGAATTGGAATAAGTCAGTCCTCTTGACTTCTGGGTACTTTGGCTGTGATGGGTTCGTGAACTTACCTTGCGGTTGGGGCCGGGGCCGGGAACGACGCCACCCTGGATAGCGAGAGCAGTGCCATTGCCGCCGAGATCACCAGTGACCTGTGCAACCTTGCCGTGTGCGGCAACAGAAGTGGCTGCTGCGAGAGCGAAGATGATCGTCTTGGAAACCATTTTGAAAGAGTTGTGGGGATTTTTGAAGTACGAGTAACTTGATTAGAGCGAGGATTCGGATCCGAGCCGGATTAGATTGCAAAGAAGGTTCTGAATAGAAGTGAAAGAGTTGGAAATAACTTTAAATCCGCGCGAATCAATCGGCGATGAGATGAGAATGGAATACAAACGAGGAAGTGAAGCTGCTGAATAGAGAAGCGGAAACCAGAACCTAGAGGCGGACGATCATTAGGCTTTATACTTGACTCTCCAGACCTTGACGACCATGATGGAGAAAGTCTGCGAAACAACAATGCAGACAGGCTCCAAAGGCGTAGGATGAATCTCCGCGGCTATTGTTCGCATGGGTTCGGGTTCGTGATGGCCATGGCTTGGGACTGTGTTCGCTAGCCAGACATCGTCCCAAACGCGACCCTATCCCAAAGCAGTAAAAATTCAGGAACGAGACGAGCAGCCCCATCGACGTCTGAAGCAGGTGAAACGTCGCGACACCTTCACCTCCCTTCGCGACGTTCAATGTGTGGTGGGGCGGGGGGCGACAATATTCGGTGTAAGGCTTCAATAGCGACCAGGTGTCGGCCAATGTCCGCAAGATTCAGCCAACATTGGACGACATCGATATTGACGCCCGACGTAAGGAGCAACTCATTGGATGACTTTGACACTGACAGGGCATAACACTTCGCTTCTATACGGCTTGACCTGACAACTGCAGGTCTGAGTGTTGAGGAGCGAAGCCTCTCTCCCGCCCTTACTCACCTGGGTGTGTCACTCGGATTCAGAAACATGGTAAAGCGACACCGCAAAAGGCACATCTTCGGTCGATTGCATCGGGAGGTTTCCATCACCACGACTCGTTTGACGTAATTCAGTTGCGAGCACGCGAGAACTCGAACCAACTTGTGCGCATTTCACAGAGTTCTTCCCGACATGTAAACGTATGCGTCTATGAACTCAGTCAGCCAAACAGATCTACCTCAAGGATCCCCCATCTTGATCTGCCCCCGCTGCTCACGGCGGCAGCACCACGCGCCCAACCGAACCGAGAGCGTCACTGACGAAGGCAGAGTTGCTATCGGCTGGCATAACCGACTCGGGTCGCTGCCGCCTTGTATGTCGGCCGCGGCCACCGCGCAGCCATCTCCCCTGAAAAGAAGGGGGAAAGAAGACTGAAAAGCTTTATGAAACCCGTCTTGGGCCCGTCTGGACGTGGGTCACCGCTGCAGCGCCCACGCCGTGATAGGCCCGAACGCTTGATGTTTCACTTGCCAAGGATGGGATCTCCCTGCGTGCCTGGTTCGCGTCCGCCACTTGCGGCTGATGTGGCCGTCAGTGGTGAGCGTTGCGCTGACACATGCATCCGAGATGGGATGAAGCTGAAGGCGATGATGAAAACGAAGGTGCAACGCATTGCACGAGCGGAGGATTGGACGGCGCTCGCGTCTGGTGTCATCTGTCACCTGCCATCTGTCATGCCCAGAACTCTGTGCAGGCTTCTCCTTGAGATGGCATGCTCTCAGACATTTCGAAGAGCGAGACTCGGCGGCAGGCTTCGTAAGTGGTCGGGCTCTTCCGAGGTTCAAAATGGTACTAGCGGTCGAGCGTTGGGGCGGTGAGACGCATCATCCAAAAAGAAACATCAACGTTGAAGAAGTTGAGCGGACCAAATTGAAGAAGCAAAGAAGCGTAAAAGCTAAGTCTTGGTGTTTAGAGAGTTCCCAACCAGCTTGCCACTCCCGTTTCTCGCCAAGGCACGGGAAGCTCATTGTTTCCATCAACTTGAGAATGCAAGAAAGGCTTGTGTGGTTTTGCCTCCCGCATTCGCACGCGGCCTTACATTCTTCGGTTCCCATGCGGCTGATCCCCCGAATTCATCCGCCGATCTCCCAAAGGAAGAAGATCAAAACACCAGCATTTTTTCTATCGTCTTTCCAATCGGTAAGACTTACCTGCTTGAATGACATCGCCCCACTCTTGCTGCGGATGGATCGGCAACTTGATACACGTGGAGACGATTCTGGTGTAAAACACGACCTCGCGCCTCGCGCTCCCTTGCGGAGAGCTATGTCGGCAATTCCGCCCATATCATCATCGTATTGGCCGGGGGGATGAGCCAAAAACCCTTCTTGTGATGCTATAATAACCATGAATAGGGGGTTAAAGTCATTGGTCATACTTGATGGAGGAGGTTCCAGAAGATGAAAAGAGACCCCCAGTCTCTCATCCCCCGCAACATGAAGCCAGGGGTCGCATCATCGTCCAGCGAATGCAAGACGACAGCCAGCCAGCGGGATGAGAAATTCAGACGACTTTGGCGCACGCATGAGACCAAACATTGTGGGCTGTCTGAATTCTCCCTGGTGATGTCGCTTTGTCCGTGCAGGGCATCTCTCATCTGCCTCCTGAGTCCTGGACTTGTAGGCTGTCTTCATCGCAACGCCATTTTCGATGACAATCTCTGCCGGCGCTTTCACTCAGTCCCGCATGCTCCCGCCTTCCTCCTTGCCCAGTCTCCTGCAATTTCTCCGTGCGACGTCAGTTCTATCTGATCAGCCACACCGAGACTGGAGGAAGAGATGGCCTCCTACGGGGTCCAATGGCTGGCTGATCTTGATACCCGAGGCAAGGGAAATTGTCCCGGTAAATTGGGTTCGAAAGGCTGGGACCGAGCCGCGGCAACACCTGAATGTCCTAAAGGGAGGTCAAAGAGTCAGCACCTCAGGTCGGTCATCCAACGCGCCTTGGAAACGGCCTGCCGCCCTGCATCGCGACCATCACAGGACTATTGTTTTAAGTTCACCGCCTCTGGTCTACAAAACCTTCTGGATTATCATCTCGTGAAGAGGGTAACATCCAATTCGGGATTTGGCTGTGGTCTCAAATGATGATCATCGGCAACCCTTGCCAAGCAACCCGGGAACCCGCTGATCTCTGGAGGGGTCCGAGCCTCCGAAAGCCACGAAAATATCACTAAAACAATGTTTCCGGCAGAAAGGCTCAGCGACGATCTCGGAATTGGGTTTGGTTTGGTTTGGTTCACAACGCGGCGCTGAGACAATTGCCCACTAACAAAGTCGACCGACTTTGACTTTTGAGTTGACAACTGAACTATCGACTTCAGGTGCGGATAAGTAAGGGGAAACTTTTCCCTCTAGCTTTTTACTTTGAGCTTGCAGGATAACGGTCGAACGGCATCTAGCAAGCATGCCAAGCTTAATTTCATCGTGTCTCTCCCTACATGTGGCTAACGAACGTTTTGACGTCGTCGCGGAGCATCCGGGGAGTAACGATCGTCGACGTCAAGGGTTCTTCATGGGACGTCTCCCACTAAAATCCCCGAAGCAGAATAGCTGCCCTGCCAGGTCAGCTCTGATCGTCAACTTTTGACATTTGACTAACCGGGGCACGGGAGGCTGTCTGCCGCCATGACGAACTCTCGTCAAGGGTTTGGGGGGAAGATTAGGAAATAGAGGCAGCCAAGGAGAGGCTGATGGAACAAACTAGGAAACGACCCATGATTTTGCAGCCAGAGGGATAATTTCGAGCTGCATTGGGAAACCTTGTGGAGGTTTGCGATCGGCATCTTCGGGGAATTGTCGAGGGTCGTGATCCTCTCCGTGACGATGTCAAGATGGGCGTTGGCCGTGCATCGACATCATGTCCTCCAGGTACTTAAGCCTTTGACAACTCCGCCAGAATAGAGGTTTTTCTTCATCCAGCTTCAGCATTCTCACTCAGTCACTCTTTTCAGACTTTCCAGCTCTTTTAGCTCTCGTCATTCCTTAATCCAACTTACACCACATTCTTTAACTAATTCAAACCAAACCCCCCAACCGCAAAAATGAAGTTCCTCAACCTCGGCCTCGTCGCCATTTCCTCCCTCTTCGCCACCTCCCTCGCGGCGCCTGCCATCCAGGGCCTCCCCACTGATGTCACCGACGTCGCCAAGGTCCCCGTCGTCCACGTTCCCATTGCTCCTGAGACGGAAGTCCTTGACAAGCGCACTGAGGTCGTCTACACCAAGGTCCAGTACACCATCGTCGAGGTCAAGAAGCACTGCTCCACCATCAACTCCACCGTGGACGGTGTCACCAAGGGCCAGATCGCCCAGAAGAAGGCCGACATCATCAAGCTCGTCAAGAGTGAGGTCACCATCATTATCAGCCTGATCCACTCCCTCGTCGGCGACATTGTCGAGCTTCTTGGCGAGACTGTCGAGATTGTCGGCGAAGAGAAGGAGCAGATCATCTCCTGCGTCCTTGAGCTCGTCTTTGAGATCATCTACTGCCTCAAGCATGTCATCAAGGTTCTCGGCTGCAGTAAGTTTGCGAAACATTCCACGATTCTCAAGAATAACCCCCGCTAACCATTCACTAGGCATCTTCGAGCTCCTCGGCCCCATCGTCTTCGTCCTCCTCACCGTCGTCTTCCACCTCCTCTGCTCCCTCAACGGCCTCATCGAGGGTCTCTTGGAGCTCGTCTGCTCCGTCCTCGGCGGTGTCATCGGCCTCCTCCTTGAGGTCCTTGCCGGCCTTTTGCCTATCGTCCTCGGCCTTGTTGGAGGTATCCTCAAGGCCATTAACCTTGGCGGCCTTCTCTGCAGCGTCGGCAGCATCCTCTAAATTTCTCTGCTTCCTCGCACTGAAATTTGACCACAAACGCTCTTCGATTGGTTTAGTACATGGCAGCCGGCGAATATGGATATAGAGCACTCAGGTGCAATCACTTAATATCACTTTTCGAGTAAATATTTGACGTCAAATATATTACTTGGAATGGAAAAATATACATTTTAACATCTTACTCTGCAATCTTATTCTTTCGTGACGCATCAAATCTTGGTGACCGCCCGAGCCGTGATGATAAAGTCACATCATTTGACTAAGTAGTATATTAAGAAGCAGCGCAAAACCAGGGCGGCAGCTTTGATTATTGGGGCGGGTGTCATTTATGGTCGGACGTGATCTCGTTCGTGCTAGCGCCAACATGCGCCTCGAATTGATTGTAGTCGGCTGATCTTGAGAAGCCCAGGTTAAGAGAGAGCTGACACAGGCCGGATAGTATAGTCAGATGAGGGAAATCGTGTCATCTACCACCGGTCGTTTAGGGTCGAAAAGCTTCAGTGGTAGCCAGCTTGATGAAAGAATCATTGTATAACAACATGAACGACCTCAAACTTGGGTCAGACTTGTAATGTCTGCAAGCCTGCGATCTCGAAATGCCAAAGTCGCTAGCCAGTTTGACACGTACATATAAAAAAATGTTGCCAGGACCAGAAATGTAGCCGCGAGGGGAGCCAGAATCGAGAAAATGGTAAACCCATAAGAAGCCGACTGAAAGGCTGTATTATCAGCAAGGCGTGTGGTAGCTAGACCAACTTGCATCGCTGTGAGGACCACAGCGATATACACTGTTGTCGAAGCGAGCCACGCGAATTGGTCGTGAAAGAAGTCTCCATAGTGATTCCATGGAGGCATGTAAAAACGAAAGGAGGCCAGATACTGCAATTTGTTTAGCCGGCTTAGGCGCAGCTCGCCGTAATAGAAGCGTTCATCGATTTGAGCATAAATGTTCTCCGGACTCAGCTCCGTGGCGAATTCTCTCCATTTTTCCCATTCGACTTCCTTAGGAATAAGGCGGTTGTCCTTCGCAAGAAAGAAGTCGCTCTCATGGCAGATCAGCGCAGCGTAGGAGAAGAGGAATCCAAAGGCACACCTCCAAAGCCTCTGGCGATCACAGGGTTTCGATGTGGTTTGTGAACACCGATGGCCCTGACAAGAAAGACAATTTGTCCAGAAATTGGGTTCAAGCAGAATTTGCGGGATGGGTTTGATGTAGATGAGTCCTGTCGTCCAGACGAGATGGAGATCCATCTGTTCGACTACGACGATCTCTCGACCGAGCATCCGTTGATAGTGTAGCGGACGTGTGGGCGTTGGTCGTCCCGCGAACCATAGCCGCGGATACAGTTGGACTAGCCGTCCAAGTCCCAGCTCATTTTCCAGGAAGTCGTTGCTGTGTGGTGTCGCAGGGGTGAGGTCAGCATTGTCTGATCCCGTTCGGTAGGAGACTGGAAGGAGTTTTTGCAATTGTTCTGGAGGGAATGCTGTTTCTAGAAGCTGAGTATGAAAGGGGGCAAGCTAGAGTATTGGATTCCAAATCAGCTGCATCCATCCGTTCGGTATCATGAGAAAAGAAAAGTACCTGGGCTTCCTCTTCTTTCTTCGTTGACGGCATCCCTATCTACGTTATTTGTCTAGCGGTGGACATCCACGATGGCGTATGGGTGATTCAGGAGAGCGCAGAGAACAATGAGTGAACTATGAGGATGTTCGAGCAGTCTCTGAACGAAGCATTTTGCGAGAAACCATCTTCCCCGCGATTTTCCTATCATTTCTGTTTTGTCGAGGGCGTAGTGATCGTCAGGACAGCTGAAAGGTCCCGCATTCGATTGGTCACAGAAGTACCGACTAGGGTCCGCTGCGTTAGCCGCTGGGGGGACTCCGGGGGCGTCTTAATCATGTGCGGCGGACATCCAATGCATGTACATTGCGAGGAAACGAAGTAAGGAGACATGTATTCGCAACATGGAAAGCTTGAAAAGAACAGATTACATTCTTTGACGTAGAATTGAAAATTGTCTATACAAGGGTCTCGTATCTCGATGAGTCTTGGCCGAGGATGGGCACGGGGATGAGGACGGAGGTTCCGTTCAATGATGAAGTGGCAGAATGCTGCATGGTTTTATCACATAGGTTGCTCGAGCAAGAGTAATAGTTCCTGGCCAAAGTGTTATCGTGGACAAACCCGGCGCTCAGGGTTGAGAAGCGTTTAGGATAACCAACTTCTATCGATACAATATCAGGCCCTCCTCAACTCTTGCCTCTTGCCTCATCTCCTCACTTGAGCAAATACACAGCTCCCAACTGGTGGCATTGGGTTGCCCGCCGGCACCCCAGTAGTAGCACTCGTCGGGGTTAGAGTCCACGATCGCGTACCTTCGAGCGATTATCCACGGGTCAAGAAATGTTGTTGTAGGCTCTTTATCGCGGACCACCGCGTCCTCGCACTCGGAACATGTTCGCGGGAGATCAATGGGTTCCATGCCAAGATCTCTAGCTCTCTGCTCGAGGTACTCAACGTAGTAATTTCGGTTGGGGCTGTCTGGGTATCTCGGGCTTTGCGGGAACCTTGGACTTCTTTCCTCCTTCTGTGTTGCCTGTTCCAGGAGCTCCGAGCATGGCTTTGGCGCAAGTTCGTTCCAGAGATCTCTGTAGTCGCCCGCGATGCACGCCATGGCGACTTGCAAGTTCATATCAGGCCGTCGGCGGACGAGTGCTCTCAACGTCACTTCCGCAGGAAGCAAAGGCCACCATATCAAATGTGGCATGGCGGCTTCAGTTGGGGTGTAAGGTTCGATATGAGACAGATCGTTGACCATGATGAATCGGGCCAGAACGGCTGTCTTGATTGCATAGTTGCCATAATCTATTTTCTGGAGAGACCACCACTTGGCAAAGGTGGTGTTGTTATAAATGCCGCGTATTACGGCCGCTTGTTCGTCATGGAGCATCTTCGGCCGGCGGAGGCGTACATATCGCTCGATATTGCCCTCATAAGCAGCCATAAGGACCAAGGGATCCTTGTTGGTAGTCGGTAGGTGCGAGAGGAGGGGAGTGTAAAAGAGCGCGATATGCTCGGGGGCGACTTCCTCGATGTTGGTCTTCTGTGATGAGAACTCATCGACATTGAAGTCCTCGGCGATATTAAAATAATGTTTTCCCCACTCCTTGTAATCTTTCAAGCCAAGTCGAACATCCAAAGAAGACCGCACTGCCGTATCGCCGTTCATGAACGCAGGTGACAATGGGTTCCCCGAGTTGATTGAACGGGCGTAGTCATCGAGAATGGCGTAACAGACAGGTTGAAGCATGATATTATCAAATATGATCTTGGATCCATTGTTTGAGGAATTGTCCCTTGCTTCCTCGGCAATAGAGACCTCGGGGAGGAGACCAAGCTCACTGTACAGATCGGCATACCCGGCGACTGCGCACGCCCGCCCAACAAGATATAGCATATCGGGGTAGCGCGTCAACAATACCCGGTAGGTTTCCTCGCTAGCGACGTCTGGGTACCAAATACAATAAGGCTTCTCATCGCCGGACATCATGTCCGGGACAATGTTACTCATGATCAGCCGGGCATTGCGGGCTCGGGCGAACGCTCTGTCGTCTGAATCCAAGCAGAAATTGCGGACTGTCTCTGACATGGCAAATCCATGATTGTGACGGATGCCGTGAATCACGCATGCCGACATCCATGTTTGGTCGGAATTGCACGTGCGCGTCAGCCTCGTACCGCGGAGTGCTTCCAGATGGTCGTCGCCAGGAGGCCGTTGAGCGTGAGCTCGGTAACGTGGAATTATGGGTTCTTTCTCGTGATGAGATTGTTCCTTCTCAAGCAGTTCAGGGGAAGACGACATTCTTATCGTGAATGGAAGTTTGTTGTGAAACGAAGGAAAATTGGATGGGTGATACCATGAAGGTAAGGTAAGCATCGATAGGGTTGGAACAGTCTCTCTTATAATTCTATTGGTTCTGTGGAGTCAAAATGGCCTCAATACAGACCCGCTAAAATCATCCTGCGGGCAAGACTCAAAAGTTACAACCAACACGAGGTCGCCTCTATCATTCCCTGCCAACATCACAACTCAGCACTTTCAAGTATGGCTGTGGACACAGGTGTTGGAAGTTGCCTTTACTCAGCCGGCTAAAGACAGAACCATCACCAAATCCTACTAAAGCCACCCGGAAGCTATGGAGCTAATCAATGTCAATTTGTGATCGGACAATTTCATGTTAGGTTTGACGATGAACAGCAGAATAATCTCAGGTCAAATTAGGTGCCGAATAATAGTGGCTAAAACTTTTAGTTGTTGCCCGCAATAACAAGATAGAGATACCGTTAGGGAATGATTCGATGCAACCATCTTCTCGTACACATTCAGCTACCACCAAGCAGTAATAGCTCAGCTGGCCAAATCGGGTCACTGCCGACCTTTCCCTTCTGCGTCTGATGGTCGCAGTGCGCGAATTGAGATTCTCTTATCTACAATCAAACCGCCTATCGGTGGCTAATCCTCGTCTTCAGCAACCTTGGCCCATTCGTCATTGCCTAGGATTGCCATCATCAGTCAACATTATGGCTCATATGCGTCGTCTGCCACACAGCATCATCTCGATCAATATCCAAAACCACGAATCCCTGCCGTTCCCAGAACTTGATCGCTCCCGGTAAGAACGGGTGAGTGTGAAGATACAATTGTTTCAGGCCCGCTTCTCTCGCCGCCTTCTCCAAAGCCGAAATTAATCGGGATGCCAATCCGCCGCGTCGCCAAGCCGGGACCACGAAAAGTCTCACAACTTCGACGACGCCATCGGGTAGTAGAGTGAGCTGGGGAAACCGGTAGTCGTAGTGTTGATATCCAACTGTCGCAATGATTTGGTTGTCTGATCGTGCGACAATAAAGGCTCCATCTGGGTGATTGAAAAATGTCTTCTGGAACGTTGCAAGATCTTGCCCGGCCTTCATGGCGCGCCATTGCTCATCCAGATGCGGGTACATGTCCACGCGTGCTTTCTTGGCGAGTTCCAGGATTTCTGGGATGTCGTCGATTGTCGCTGGCGAAATTTGGATATCCATGATGTGTCTTTAAGTGGGCTGATCTTGTCGGCTTGTCGGGGCAAGTCGAATATGTTGATACCAAGGTGGTGATGCGCGGGGTTGTCCGAGGCAATCTGTGGTTGACGATGCGACAATGAGATGTTTGCGTTTAAGGTGGCTTAAGAAGAGGTAGAAATACAGAACAAAGAGATCTACAAGTAACTAGTCCTTTTCTTGATATTTAAACGCAGTGCTTAGTAGGTGATTAAGTTTGAGAGATTGATTAGATATAGCGAGATCGGCGTCTTCATTATTTCGGCGTGCCCCACAGACTCTTCGCTTCACCTCAACTAACAGGATAAAAGCTGACTAATAATGGCCTCACAACTTTGCCAAGGCGCAAGCAATGTCATAAAGCCAGGTTTCCCTTGCGAAATGCTGATGTTCTCGCAACTTGTAATTTCGCGACGCTCTCCATAGAAGTCATTGAAATATCGTTCATATAAGTGTGAACCTGGATAGTTATACTTTCTACTAACTTTAAATCTACGATTTATCACTTGTGAACTACTCATAATCCACCATTCAAATGGTAACCATTTGGAGACAATAGAGCATCCAATGCCACCACCACCTCCGCCACAGTGTTGTGATATCGCAGACTACACCTCATCGTGTCGAAGGAGCGGAAGCTCTTTTACTCGTGATCATTCTTAGATACGAACAATTCGTCTGAGCACATCGCCAATGCTCAGCTCGCATCCATCCAGGCTCGGGGTACATCCAAGTAACTCTTTCATCAGAGTCAGGAGGGTCGAGCGGAAGTTTTGAACCATCCCCGTTATATGGCCAAGCAGGCACAATGTCTGGAACTCACAAGAGCCGAGAGTTCTTTATGCCTTGAAATATCCCCTCCATAGCCTTTCGAATAATCTCTCCGGGTCGTAGACATTGGAAATCTTCCTCAACCGGTCGCGGTTCTCGGATCCATAGCCTCCATAAACGTCTTGATGCTTGCCCGCGTAGTTCATGTAGATATACTTTGCCGCAAGGCCTCTCTCCTCTGCAAGAGCATCAATTTCATCAACTAGCCTTGCTACGCTTTCCTCCACGAGGCAATCTAATTTGGACGTCTCCCAGTGCGTGGTGACCTGGATATGAACGAGCGGACCTTCTGCAGGTGTGAGTCCGAGCGCATTGCCGCCGTTCTTTTGCATAGCCTCAATGATGTTCGTTGATATCGGCTGATATACGAGCAGAGGTGATAATGTTGTGTTCGTTTTGCCGGCGGCAGTCATTAGATCCTGGGCATGAACCTGCCACAACGGGATAATATCTTCAAGGAATTGAGCCGAGCCCTCTTTGAGGTAGACGGAAATACCTGCCCAAGACTTGCGCATTCCATAGGGTTCCGAAAGGTTGATCGTATGAGTGGAAATATTGGCCACCAGCGTCGTTGTTGAAACAGCCCCGGGAACGGATATCGCGTCGGCGAATACGGGCGGCACATCCTCTGTAACCGTCGGAGGTTTGGCATGATACATGTAGTTCGCAATGATGTCGCCATATCCTGGGAAGTTGGCAATCACGAAGAACGTGTGCGCATCATGGTCTGATGGTAGACCATCAACAACCAGGTCCACGAATGCTGTCACGAGATCTGAGCTGGAAGATAGAGAATAGATGGGGTTATGAAGCCACACATCTCCCTGCTCGAAAGCGACGAGGTCGAATTGGGTCACGACGCCAAAATTGGAGCCTCCACCCCCACGAAGTGCCCAGTATAAGTCAGGATTCTCAGACATGGAAGCGTCAACAATCTCGCCAGAGGCCAGCACGACTTCGAAGTTGCGCACGTTGTCGCAAGCCCATCCATACTCGCCGGAGAAGAGAGAGATACCGCCTCCAAGGATGAGCCCGCTGACGCCAACATCATTGACCCTGCCCCCGACAACGGCGAGACCCAGTGGATCAAGCACTTGTGAGACATTGTACCAGCGGTTTCCAGCTCCAATGGACACTGTCTGACGGTCATCTGATACAGTCACCTGATTGATGCGTGCGAGGTCAATGGTGACACCGTCTTCGACATTTGATCCGCCTGCGAACGCCGTGTGACCGCCGCTCTTGACTGTGAACTGTGCCCCGAGAGAAGTGAGAGTCTTGATAATATCGGAGACCTCTATTGCGCTTTCAGGCGTCACGAAGCAGGCTGGATGGACCTCGGCCTGTGGTTCTGACCAGTAATTGTTGGAAATGGCGTATTGCGTCGAATTGGGATATGACACCTTCCCTGGTAATTGATCGGAGAGTACCATGCACTGTGAATGATTTCATATTAGCTTGATTTTCAGCGACTGAGATTTCTGAAAGTGGTACATACTGCGCTGCCAGACCTCATATGCAAGTTAAGAAGTTCGGCCGTGACGCCTAACTGCATTGCAGCTATGGATGCCAGTCCGGCGAATGAGGCTCTCATCTTGCCCAAAAGGTGCCCTCAACAGGGCTAGGAGTACGGACGAGCGCAGGTATCTAAAGGCGGCTTGATATTCTTGCACATTGAGGAACGGAGCTTTTCCACTTCCACGAGGTTACTCTCCATCTTTATGGTTCATTGGGAAGAAACATCGTTGTGTCTGAGATGAGCGAAGAAGCGCGCGGTCAACACATTCCAATGTACCCCGCCAAGCACGCCAGCGACAAAAGGACGTCAACGGTTCCATACCCGCGTCGATGATTGGTGTAGACAATGAAGCTTAATACAATTTGCCCGCGACCAACGCAGCAGTCAATAAGACTAACGATTTAGGGCTGGTGCTGATGGTTCCGGTCTGGGGTTGCATTCGCGTGGCGCGGGTTGGAGTAGCTCCGGCACGCACCTCTGCCGGGATCGATGGTTGACTTCCAGGGGTTTGGCAAGGAGCAAACATCAAAAATCGTATCATAACCAGCAGCTGAGGCTCTACACAGTAAAGCGTTCATCTCGGATAGATCTCATCCGGCGCAAACAAGTGCACCATGTGGATGGCAGTTGGTCACGTGGACAGAACAGCATGTGCTGCGCCGTTGGTTCGCGTTGCCATCCATCCAACGGAGCAGGCTTCGAATGAGAGCACGTTTGCTAAAGGTGTTTGGAGATGTTTGCAATTGGCTTTTTGATAAGATTTCGCATACGCACACTATAGATTATTTCCACATCTTGACTAGGTTTCCGGTGCATGGATCGTTGCGGTTGGATGGGAGTTCGCGATCTTACCATGTGGCGACGAAAACCCAAAAGCAAACCGACTGATCAACGAACTCACGAACAAACATTTGAACAATTTAACAGTTGAACAGACAAACATGCAAGCACCAAGCATGGAAGAATTATAATTCCCGCATTGGAACACTACGGTTTACTTCTTCGAAGTTACGACTGGGACCGGGGCTATTGCGGTTGCTGGAGCGTCAGTCAAGTGCTAGACGGACCGCGCCTTTACTCCATATTCTGAGAACTGTCTTACGGCGTAAATTTCAGGTGAAAGACGACTTACTCTTCAGAAACCAGTCCCAATTTCTGCGTAATTTAGGATTTCCAGATTCGGTCCTTTACCTTATGTGACGTTGGAGGAGTTCGAAGCGCCAATTGGAGAGCCTTCAGGGCTCTTGGTCGTATGTTCAAAGGTTCAAACAGACGGATTTCCCAGAAGCAAGGAGGCAGCAAGTCTGACTTGACCCACAAAGAAATCAAAACTCCTCTCCTCGCCGAGGGGAAGTCAGCTTGGTGATACCATATTTCCGACGAGAATACGTATGATTAATGTCTATGAAGGATGCTTGGACTTTTTTGAGATGACGATAGCTGGGAAATAGAACAAATCTCAAGATCCAGCATGACTAAGTCAACTAAGGGGCACAAAAAGGACAGTTATCATGTCGTTCAAGGGGTGGAAGAAGCTACGAAGGCATGGGGTTTCACAACAGCTATAACCGAAGTGTCAAATGTAGTTAATTATCCTTGATAAATAAAAAGAATTCCCTGGATCCTCTCCTTTCTCATTGGCCTTAACATTGTTTCCTTGATCATCGCCTCGATACACCAGTAATTTTAGTCTTGAAACAACCCCGCGGGCTGCCAGGTCGTTTAGATCAGACGACAGCGGGGTCCAAGCTGCACGGCATTGATGGCCTGCTGGTTGCTTTACCTCAAACTTAAGCATAGAAGATCTTATTGGGGGCGCTGATCATAGCACGTGTTCTATAAGGAGAGTAAGGCAGACCCCAGCCCCGATGAAAAATCTTTTGACGGGGCCATTGGCTTTCATCAAGTTTGACAACCGAGTTACAGCTTTAGCATCTTGCGTCATGGTCATCGTGCGGCCTCGTCGCTCGGAAAGTCGATAACTGCCGACGCCAGCAGTCTTTATTCATCTGAGCGTTTTCGATAGACTCCAAGAAAAGCTTAACTCTGCAAGCGTGTCACAAATATGATGGGCAACGTAATGGTCCAAAATTGGGTTTTTTGTATACCGGTGCGAGTAGTGCGATCAAGCCTCTACTGCACTCTCCAGCTGGCTCAACGAGCCAAGTATGTTCGTTCCTCTAAAGTAGGTAGTATGATACAAAGAAGTGTTCGACACGTGACGGTCTATGTACAACAACGCCGCTGCTCAACTCCACAAATGCTGTGATGCTTCTGATTTATGCGCGAACAAAACGCGACTTGGTGGACCAACCCCAGGATTCGACGTCACGCTTGCTCATGGCGGCAACGCTCTCGGCGTAGTCGCCGGTGCCGTGGGAGGGGTCAGCGTCGGTGGCCTTGCAGGTAGGACCGGAGTTGTAGGTGCCGAGGGCGCCGTTGACGGAGGAGAACTTCTGCTTCTCCTTGGTGGTGGCGAGCATGTTGGTGGCAGCCTCCGTGGTCCAACCGTTGATGAAGTCGCCGTGAGAGCACCAGGCGGGGCCGCAGGCGAGCTTGAAGGGCGCGGTGCCGCTCCAGCCGTTGGGGAGGACCTTGCGGAGGTCGTAGCGGATGGAGAAGCGGAGTTGAGGCATGGACTTCATGCCGGAGGGGCAGCTGCCACCGCGCTTGGTCTTGTAGGCGGTCTCGAGGGTCTCGGTGTTGACACACTGGGGGAAGTAGAGGAGCTGCTGGAGGTGGGTGCCGCAGGTCGACGAGGGGAAACCGTTGGCGTCGGTGCTGCCGCCGCCGCCGTTCTCGCAGGCCCACGAGGACTGGGCATCGGCGATCATGTCGCCCTCGGTGGTGGCGGTGGCCTTGCCGGCAACCATCTGGAGGTTCTGGGGAATAGCGACCTCGGCCTCTGTCTCGCCAAGGTTGTAGTAGGCGCTGAAGCGCGAGAGAGGCATGGGCTCGTAGGTCTTGCCGCCGTCGGTGGTGTAGAGCGGCGTGGGGATCCAGTAGACGGACAAGTCGTTGGGGTTCTCGGCGTTGGTGCAGCCCTTTTGGAGCTCGGCGCTGGTCTTGGTGTTGATGGTGACGGCGTCGGAGCCGAAGAAGGAGTGCAAGTGAGACTTGTCGTACTGGCCGGGGTAGACAATGGGATCGATGTTCTTGGTCATAAAAGGGGAGGCGACGTTGACCTGGGTGTAGGCCTGAGCCAGGCCGGCGAGGAGGCCGGTAGCGAAAAGAAGGGAAGACATCCTGTGTCTGTAAAGCGAACGAAGAAGTTAAAAAAATGAATAAAAGGGAGGGAAGTAAGGAGGGAATACGACGAGGAACGAAACGTTGGAGAGCAAGAGAATGACCGAACAGGAAGCCATCATGAGACGAAAGCCCTTCCGACTTCTTATAGAGTATTCTCAACTCAGCTCTCAAGACTGGACCATGGCCCATTGCTGTGCCTTGTCGTCCAGAAAGGGATACCCAACGTAATCAAGCCCCTTCTGAATTTCCGACCAAGTTTCACGCCATCGCCTTTGGCAGCGGCATGCAGCCGAAAAGGGAACCACGTTCGTGGGGCATCCCGTTTTGTCCAAAGTGAATTAACTTGGCAGAGCCGCACGATGCCTGCGATGGATTAGTTTCCAAATGTTGATTGGACATGGACCACACCCAAGATCACTAGCGTCTGTGTTATTCCATTGTTATCCGCTTTTTCGTCCGATGCGACGATGAGAACAGTCCGGGAGATCAGCCCATTCGTAAACTCCCAGCAACAATAGCCGGGGGGCTCTTCTATTTTCCACCACGATCTATGACTTCTGCAGCTACCGTTGGTCGCACACACTCAAATATCAAGCTTATTGTTTATCCAGATCATGGTACTCCGTACGGTATCCCACGCTTGGATATTTGAATGCGTTGTGTCTGTACGTACGACTGTTTCTCACTAACAGTCCTCAATCTGAGAAGTTGGCAACCTTATCAGCAACTCTAACCCCCTGACTCCTATCAGCAGGGATGGCTTAGCAAAGGCTCACATTTACAACGTGGTCCACCCACCGGAGATCTCAAGTCATGCAGTGAGCAGCAGACCCGTCAGGACTAGAATGTCTGCTATTCCCCAGTTGTTCTTAAGATCAACAGCACAAAGGCTAGATGCCCAAATCTTAAATTGTGAATTAACCATTGGCTGTATCAGGAATACAAACAACCTAGCCCGCGTTTGATTTTGACACTACGAAGCTGATGTTGATGAGCTCGGCACTCCTAGACAACGTTGGGGATGTATTTTAAGAAAGCGGCGGGCGTGACTTCGATGTCACCCTCCCACAGGCAAAGTCAAGGTTTTCCTTCGTATTCTGGACCTTCACCTGAGAACCCAGTTTACGGAGTACCGAATCCAATAATCGGCAGAAAAGGATTTGCAGATGGGTCATGATCGCTCAGGGGCTCGTGTTTTTCGCCTTAGGTAAGCGGTCTCTCGCTCCCGGGTAAGTCGGTATGTGGGCGCAGCGAAGGAGCGCTGTTCTAAGCGATGTCGGCTAGGATATATGAAAATTCGGTTTGACGACTGGGCAGAAAAAAGACGTGTCGCGTCATCGATACATGTTCATTCATTTCCGGACCACAATGTCCTAGGAGGGGCCATCGAGAATCAATATGGGCAGCTCGGTGAAGACATAGTAAAACAGGATGACTTTCCCGAACTTCGGGGCCGGTCAATCGGCACCGCGGAAAGGTTGGGACTCTTGGATGCGATTGCTAGGGGGTCGCTTGCTTGCCAACAAGTGGGGATAATGCGACTTGGAGGCATAGACCATCCAGTTGGGTAGGTCATACCCCTTTTTACACGACAATTCTCGGCGGCTATCCGTTCTGTCAGGTCTGAATGAATCCATAATCTTTAAGAAGCGAGGAGTAAGCTTGCCTAAACGCCAGCCGCAAACCCCTTTAATTATTGGGTTCGATATTCAATCCCTGTCCGCGCATGGGTTCTGCGGACGCTTTCCTCTTTGCGGTAAGCCACCACGCTGCACTCGTTGGCCTGC